ACATGTGGTCAGGCTCTTTTTGCATCGATTACTGTATTATTTTGGCGTGTCAGACGATCAACCTGCTGATTTCCTGAAGTGGTAGTGAAGCCCTTTTGCAGTTTAGGCCAAGTCTTCCTGGAAACTAAAATCCTGACCTTTGTAAAACTTGTCAACAGAGGTGTGCTTGAAGTTGCTCTAAGATCTCCTGGTAAACTTTCTCAAGTCTGGACTATGTATGTTCATTTCCTCTTCTTGATGCAGTTTTTTAGTCTGATTCGACTTACACTCTGAATATAATGCATTTTTCACACTTTTAATTAAATTACTGGAAAAAACATTTTCATGTTACCTGTTCCTTCTAATCCTCTTTCTCCTGTTAAGAATATTTAACATTTGACTTGATTATCACTCTAGCAACAATAACCTGAAGATTGTTGCTGGTTCTGTGGTTTCTTTTTCGTTCCGTTTAGCCTGCCGTACTTGCCGATGTCACTGACCACGCTGCATCTGAAGGCCCTGTGGTTGTCAGAAAACCAGTCCAAGCCGCTCCTCACTTTTCAGACGGATGAAGATCCTGACTCAGGAGAGAAGGTGCTCACCTGCGTTGTGCTGCCTCAGCAGCCTAGTGACTCAGGTACTTCATTTCTGTGAAAATCTTCAATAAGTTTTAAGTCATGCATGTGATTAGACGCAGAAACATTTTTTCTGATGCCAATTTACCTCCTGACTCTAATTACAATCCATTTTGATTACATTCAGAAGTGTCTCATCAGTTCTCGCCCAAGTATTTACTGCCCTGCGGTTTTGATGATATTATCACATGATCTGCTCGGCGAACTGCTGTGGGTTCTGTGCACTCTGATCCTGTGATATCTGACAAATTACAAGGTCCTCTAAAGGATCGCTGAGCCTTTGATGCATCAGACTCTCTCTTGTCCCCCGAGGCCGTCTTTGGCTGAGTTTTTCCAGAAATGTTGTGGATTGTGCAGCCAAAAGAGGCTTAACAGTGCCTGGCTGGCTGACATTGAACACTCACCAATATGGCATTGGGATGCGAATGACTGGCTGTAAAATCTCAGCGATTCTTGTTTGTATATTATATCAGATTTTTGCAAGTATTCTTTTATTTTTTTTTTCATCAGTATGTTGCTCAAAAACCTGCTTGTTATGTGGCACGGTGTCCTTCTCTTGTGGCAGAGAAGCAGGTATTAGACAGACACAGTCAGCAGGGTGAGGCTGCGGTTGGGGGCAGGGGACCGTGTTGCTGTGAGCCTTTGACTAAGCTGGGATTTGAAACTGTGATCTGGCAGTTTCAGTCTCTCTCTTATTAGCAGCCGGGTGTGTGACAGCTCTCATTTATTGAGCTGGGAGCGGATTGTGACAAACATATCGACTGCTGAAATAACTTCCTTTAGTTTGCTATTGCTAATTTTAGATGTCATTGTCTGTCAGAGCCTCATTAAGACAAGATATTTTGTTTCTTAAAAAAAAAAAAAAAAAAAAAATTACCGAGGATCCAAAAACCTGGCCCGCTTTGGAGCTCTGGAGAGCCTTGTGAATGGGATGGCTGATGAGGCTTGGGACGGCAAAGCCATGAACAGAATCAGCTCCATTCACTTCCTGGATGAGGGTGAGGACGACGACGATGACCCGGTAAGATCAAAGAGCATAGACACAGAAACACCTCAGTAAATTTGAAGCCTGAAATATGTATGTATTCCTGTAGTTACGTTCATGAAGTGATGCTTCTTTATCATAGTGATTCATGACACGGACACATTTTCTTTTGTTTATAGGTGACTATAGTATGTTCTGCTCTGTCACTAAGCCCCCCTAAGAGAGATAATGGAAAGTTTAGTGGAAGGAAAAGGTTTTGGAAAAAATGACAAATACTGCAGCATTGAGATTAATGTGCAGCAAAACCTCTTTTAACGGTTAATGGGGAAATTGGTAAAGTTAGGACAGTACCAAAGCTAAATGCTCTGAGAACACACAGACACACCCAAAGAATGGTCTGCCACAAAAGTTAGAAGCATTTTACCTGATTTAAGGAGAAAATGGACTGGAGGGCTGCACATTTGTCCAAGGTACAATTCTCACTTCTCTGATTGAGATAAATGTTGCATTTGGTTTTGAAATCAAAGTTCCAGAGTCACGTGGCATTGCGCCTCTGCAATGACTTCCATGTCACCCTGCATTGATGCTGTAATATCTGCTTATTTACAACAGGACATCATTTCTGTTCTAAAACCCTTTCTTTGCTGCTCTAATATGATAGAATTACCTGAGATTCAGTTGTATGCCAAATCTTGAACATTTACAGAAATGTTTCTAAAAGACATAGTATGAAATGTATGCTTTAATTTCAGTCCTCTGTTTGAGGGGTAAACAGGTTACAATGAGGGAGATGTTTGATCATTTCACAGCTCTTAAACGTATGTCCAAAAAACACCCAGAAACTAAACACGGGACCTGATTTATTTTTTAAATCATGAAGAATCATAACCTTTTGCATTTGGCCAAGTCCTATTTTTTTCCTAAAGTGAGGCTAATTAAGATAAGAAATGGACGCTCATTTGTTGCAAGTTTCAATCATTCATTTTCTCTAAGATAAGCCTGGGTTCTGTGTTTCTGCGCTTTCAGCACACTCTACATATAACCTATTGCACTCAGCATTACCTGATGGTACTTTCAAGCCATCTGGATCGTGTGTTTGAAAAAAAACAACAAAAAAACAAGACATTTCCACACGCGACCAAACACGTGGATCTACACAGATTGAAAACATTTATTCGGTTGGGGTAAACAACTTGGGCAGAAATAAAAAAAGGTTTCAAAGGTGTTTTCATTTATAAAGCTTCCTAAGAAATGCATCTAACGGAAGCAATTTAACATATTCTTAAAGAGAATTACAGTATTGAGGAAGTTTTATTTAAAATCTATAACTTCCTGTTTCTCTGAGGTATACGTAAGACATCACAGTTTGTGGAATTTCCCTTTTCCACCTTTTTAAATTGGACAGTTTGTCCTAAGTTCATCTTACCAAAAGGTACAGTGAGGAGAGAGCAATGTCTCCGTAAGCAGACACTGTCTCTGTCGGACAAAGTACAAGGAAAAAAAGTTAGTTTTTCCATCCTACCAAAAATGTTGGAATGAAGACTAGAATGAATCAAAGTGGGTTGATTTAAAAGAACTCAGTTTCAGCATTTGTACACTTTTCTGGATATTTGTTCCTTCTTTCTGCAACACCACCATTCCCTACACATTTACCATCCTCCAACCTTCAGGTGCAGCTTTGCACCTGAATCTGTTTTCTGAACTTATAATCAGCGATTTTGTACAACACGATTAGTTGTTGATGTGGTCAGTTTACAGGTTTGCATTGTAGCAGATTATATTGCTACAAAAAAAAAAGGATATATTTAAGACTTTTTTTGCTCACAATAACCAATGACTCTATTTCGCTTATGAACTGGTATTCTATGTTTAAAAACGTAAACAAGCAACCATAATTTACCCAATCTGCATCCGTCTCACAGGGAACTCTGCTACGAAGGGCCACTCCTCACCCCGGCGAGCTGAAAACCATGAAGAAGGCAGCCGAGAACCTCCGCAACGACCTGAACGCTGCCAAAGGCCTGGACTCCAACAAAAACGAGGTCAATAACGCTGCAGACGGAGTCACTACGTCTGTCTGACCTTTACCTCAGAAGTGTTTTTTTTTTTTTTTTTTTAAATCCTTCTGTGTCTCGCCATATCGTCCTGCACAACCTTGCAGCCCTTCGTTGTTGCATTTTGATATTTTTTATTTTTTCCCTAGCTTTTCTTTTACCCACAAGTCCCAGTTTGACCTCCCGCTTCGTTTGGTCATGCCATGCAAGAGCCTAACACCTCCAACTTCCTGTGGAAAAATAAAACTGTACCTGGGCCGCTGTGCCTTCCTCTTTTTAGCAAAACTCCACGGCAGAGAGATGCTCCTTTTTTGACAATATATTTTTAAGACGAAATACTTTTTTCAAAAGTGATCTTTAAAGGATTTTTAGGTAGTTGCACTATAAACCTCTTAAATGTTTTTTTTTTTTTTTTTTTTAAACACTGGGTCTTTCTACATTTTTGGGGCAAACAAAAGCAGGAGTGTTTTTGGACTCTTATCTAAAATTGTTGTAAATCTCTTGTGAATACTGAATCTTTTATACTTTTTGGCAGCTCAGATGTAAATAAGTGTATAGCAAGTATCTTCTTAATCGGTTTAAGATTCCTGCTCTCTTTTACTTGGTACGTTTTGCTTAAATCAAGGTATTGAACAAAACACTAATGTCTTATTTAATCCACTGGGTGATCTTATTTTTGGATGTTTATTAGATTATTCAAATTGAAATTTGAGTACTGCACATCAAGTTTAAATTGCCATCTGCAGTGTTGTTACGCTGTAAGGATCATGTTTTATTTAAATGTGCTGTACCTGACTGCTTTGCATTGTTTTTTGTTTTTTTTAATAGATGCCAAAACAGATGTATTTGTACTTTTTTAAATTTTGCCTCCTTTTAAGGAGTACTGTGTAGATGATTTATCAAGAGCTTTGGGAAGGTTGAGGGTTTTTATTTTTGTTTTTTTAGCATAATGATCACTCTAAAATGTTATGGTTTCTCTCGGATGCACTTCTTATTGTTGCTTTCCTCCTTTTGTTTTTTTTTTAATGGTAATTAAAAAAACTGTTGTTTTGTTGTTAAATCAATGGCACCAAGTGAGCCAGAGCAAAAAGTTTAAACAGTTTTCCTTTTATTTTTATTTTTTGTTTCTAATTATTCTCCGATAAAGCTGCACAGAACAGATCTCAGACTGGCTCTAAACCTTGAGATTTGCTGACGTTCTTTTTTTTTTCTTTCTTTTTTTTTAAACCACTGATCAATAAAAATGAGTGCAACACTAAATCCACATTTGGTATTCCTCCAGATTGCTTTTTGCCTCAAAGTGATGCGAGATTAACAGAGTGTAGCAAAATAAAGGGCTCAACGGGTTCAAAATGACTCTTGTTGAAAGATAATCGGCTGCTGAGGAGAATCGAACCGTCTCGTTTGGAGGTAACGCAACAGATCCCAGATCCTTTTGTTTTTCCTGTTGCGTCCGACCAGCTGAGCATGATGTAGAGCACCTCCACCCTGCATGTCCTGCATGCCACTTCTGTTTCTGACGTTGTCTGTTCAGATTCCAGGTTTAATCAAAGGTATGTAGTTGGAGAACAATTGTGGAGTTGCATTGTGAATCTCACTTTTTCTTTCAACCCTCTGCAAAATAAGCAGCTTCTCTGGATAAGGAAGCAGGATTTTAATATAGCTCCTGCTTTTTTGTGAAATAGGAGACTTTTTCCCTCCACAGATCCGCCAACTTCTTCAGCAATAGCTAATTTCTTCTGATTATCTATAGGAGATTAAAAATCCTCACAGTGACGAGCCCCCTGGGGCCGGCTGTCAAAGCTGGACCGTCCCAGACTTCAGCTGGATGAAGACCAAAGAGAGGCTGCAGGGGGGACCTCAGATGTTTGCCGTCAAGAACAATGTGTGCGCTCGCTGCTGTGAGCTGGAGAGGAGCAAAGAAAAAGCTGAACCAGCAGAGGAGGTCGGTTTCGGCGAAGTTATTTCATGTTCTGTGTAGATTCTGTTTCAGCTGGAGAACCAGGATTTGCTTTACTTTTTGTTCTTCGCTTGAGTTGCTCCAGGATGCCTGAGGGTCTTTCAATGACTGGTTTCCCCTTGATCTCCTGTGATATGATAAAATACAGTTTGCACACTGTGGAGCTGCACACATTGTGATTAAAAAGAGAAAAAAAAATAACAGAAGGCTTCCTATCATATTGACAGCAAGCCTTTGTAAAATCAAACGGCAAATTTTAAACAAATGAAAAAAAAAATTCTCTTTAAGGAGAAATAAATATATTAGCTAGAGGGATCATTTTCCCTTTGGTTTGGGTTCAGCTTTAAAATTGAAAATTTCTAGATCTGCTTAGATCAACAGGAATACTAAATCTTTTTTATGCAGTCCAGTCCAAACACTATAATCCTTATTAAAATGTAAGTAACATTTCTTGAAGAAAACTAACATTGAAAGTCTGTTCATGCTTTCCATGAAAGTTTCATGAGTTCAGTCATTTCTAGTTGATCTGACAAATCCTGTAGACTGTGATCTCTCAGCAGCCACAGTTGAAAGTATGAATTCTCCTCTTTTTTTCCTCTTTAAAACTTACTTCTGCTGAAATCAGTCAGTTTCTGTCTTTCTTTTTTAATCTGTAAAGACTGAAAGTTGCTTAGCTTCTTAATAAATATTCTGTCAACATGTCCTCCTATCTGAGCTCCTAATCTTTGCAGCTCCTCTAGAGTTACCTCAAATCAGCACAGGCATTTCCCAAAATTAATATTTGTCACATAAATCCCAATAAAAGTCATCAAGGTTTGTAATTGTAACCAGTCAAAATGTTCTAAGAAATTAGAAAACCTTTGAAAGACCTTCAGAAGTAAGAACTGTTGATCAAGAACACGTCAACCTATTAAAAGAATGTATTTGGAAGATATCTAAATGAAACAATAAATTATACGGTCTGGAAATGTTTGCATGTTTTTCGCCGGCGGTCAGTGAACGCACCAGTTTTTCTGTTATCACCAGAGCTGTGCAGGTCGCCTGTCTGCAAGAGAAGCTGGGCCGTGCCCGTTTTGCCATCAGAGAGGTGAAGCCCAAGAGGGCAAGAATTTTTCACATCCCAGAGCTCTTAATGCAGGGTCCGGTCTCCATGGAGACCCTGTCTGCAAGACAAAGACGTCATCAGTCCCAGGCTTCCTGAGATCTTCTCCACTGAGCGAGACGAGTCTTCCTGCAGAATCATCCACCACTCAAGTGCCGTTAAGAGTAAATTCACTCTGCATCTTACGTAAATGTCAAAACGTCCCTCTGGCATCGTCTGAACCATATCGGGAGAGCCTCTCTGTGTACTCATAATCCATTTTCGCTTCTTGTTAACTATACAGAGCTGCTCGTATCATATAATCTAAGGTTTATTAGTGATGAAAGCATTTCTTTCAGTTGCAGATCAAAGTATCTGGCCAAAGTGGTCGTTTGGGGATCAGCATCGCTGGTGGGAAAGGTTCTCTGCCTTATAAAGATCAAGATGAAGTGAGTGGTGGAGTAGGAGAGGAAAAATTGCCTAATCTGTTGCAACATAGCTCATCAGTCATTCACTCAGCAGCTTCTTGGCTCTCTGAACGAATGTGATCTGAAGGAGCCAGGTTAGGGATGGGGTTAGGGTAAACCCTGTAAACCCTAACCCTATCCCCAACTTAGTTTGCTTTTTTTTTCCCCCTCAGGGCATTTTTATTTCCAGAGTAGCTCAAGGAGGGCCATCCGAAAAGGCTGGGATCCATGTTGGAGACAGAGTACTTGAGGTAGAAAACAGAAACTTTAACTTCTTTTTGCTGTGGGAAAATATTGCATGGACAATCTGCTGTGCTATAAACCCTTGGTTTATCACTTCTCACCAGTAGGGGGCAGCACATGACCAACAGAGGATTCTCAGCTTGGACTTCCCTCAGTGACAATGTGATTGACAAAAAAAAAAAAAAAAAAAAAAAAAAAAAAAAAAAAAAATTCCCAGACATGTTATTTCCAGGCTTTGTGCTCACGCTTCCATTCTTTGTTGCAGCAATTTCTAACTTCACCTCTGCCCTTCCAGGTCAACGGCGTCAGCATGCAGGGTGCGACCCACCACGAAGCAGTTGCTGCCCTCAGGAATGCCGGGTGCTGCATTAAGCTGAAGGTGCTCAGAGAAAGGCTGCCGCCCTCAGACGTGTACGTCCCGGCCGTGTCTCAGGATCCACCAGACCCGGCGGCGGGTCGGCTGCTGTGCTCGATCAGCAAACAGTCACAGCTGGAGGAGTCAGAAAAATGTTTGCCCAAGAAGATTGAGGCTGTTGTCTGCAATGGGAACAGTGCTGTGGGTGTTTTGACTCAATTTTCAGCATGAGCAGAAAAAGTCTTTTAAAATCTGACATTGTTTTGCAGCTCCCAATCCCGACACATACAGAACAGAACAGAACACTGTTAATGTTTTCTCTTTCCTTGCACATCTGGTTCAGTTTTGTTGATACTGCAAACTTTTTTTTTATGTGTTTCAGTGTGATTCTGACAGTGATCTGAACAGAACCCTGTTTGAAATCGAAGCAGAGGAATTAAAACTGGACTCACTCAAAGAGATGAATCACATAATGTCCGTAAGTAGATTAGTGATTATCTACAATTTACTATTTATGCTCCCAGTATTTGCACCCCATGATTTCTTTCACAGTTTTCCTCTGGTTACATCCATTTTGACTTCTTTTTGTTAGATATTGTGTTAAATCATTACAAATTGTATAATTTTTAATCTGGATTAAAAAGATTTGTTAAAATCCAAAAAGAATGGTGTGCATTTCTAGTAATTTGATGTTTTGTTGAATTGTTAGGAACACATCTTTACCAGCTTTGTACATTTTGAGAGTTACATATTTGCCCATTTTTCTTTTCAAAATAGCATAAATTCAGTCAAAGCCAACTGAGAACCTTTATAATCAGGAACTTTCAAGTCAAGGACAAAGACTGAAGTTTGTCTGGGTAATTCTAATGCGTGTCGCCCAACTCCCAGTGTGAGCGCTCTTCACATTTGAGGATCGCTTATCCTGGGAAAATCAATGTTACATTCAGCACCTGCAACTCTAAACTGAACAAATTAAAAGTGCTGCCTGCATGTGGACAGTACAGCTTTAAACAATGTTCATAAGGGATTCTACAAGCATAGGCGCTATAGTTAACACGTAAATTCCATTTCCCTTAAGCATATAAAAACTAACTCTTAAATACAACTTGCTTTTTCCCCCCTCACTCTTTTCCTTTTCATCTTGCAGATCCCCCGGATTATACTCACTCACCCCTCTACCTCAGATGAAGATGTTGAGCTCTTGTCACAGATTCCCAGAAGACAGCGGCTTCGTGACTGACACGCAGACCAGTGTGGGCACTCTGGGTGTTATGATGGTGCTTTTTACTCATTTTGAGCCCATTTTGGAGCTTTGTGGATGCCGTACAGGAACCAGTGGTGGTTCCTCTCTTTTTCAGGGATATACATTGAAGCGTAGGAGTTTACATTCGCTCACCATGGGCTTATTAACCATATTAATTTTAGGATTTTAGGGATTTACTTAAGATATTTTTAAACACGTGGACTGATAATACAAGACACAAATTAACAGATTTTTAGAAACAAGAATCTGATGCAAAAATGTATATTTATAGCAGATTTTCTCTGATGCAGGTTCAATTATAATACATTCCAATTAATATTTAGATAAAAGTTCCTTAGGAAAGAAACCTCAACCAACACCCACAATGAAGTCCCATTTTTATCCACTACATAAACTTACTGCTGCCAGGCTCTATCTGTTATAAAAATGATGTTGGAAATAATTGTTCTTTTGATAAACCCCAAAATAGATGCTAACTGTGAACATGTTTCAGTGCTCTAGTTGTTGAGTTGAGATTATGATAATGAATCTGGACATTGTGCTACTTCTGAATTAACCCCCACATTAACATTGAAGCAGAATCTTAGCATATTACTGCCACCACCATCTGCCAAAAAGCTTAATCTTTGGTCTTATTTGACCAAGATTCTCAAATAACAGAAGAAATGTATCTACACAATTCAGCTTGTTTGTACAAATTTGATCCTGTGCTTAGGAGGNAATANTGGCAATTAATTTAANAAAAATAAAAAAATATATATATAGGCTATATTTTTTTTTAATTAAAAAAAAAAAAATTAAATATATATATATTTTTATTTGTATGTTGTATCATTTTTTAAAAATGTCATAGGATGCACCAAAAGCCTAAAAAAAGCTCCAAGTCCACCTAACATTCATGGTGTTTTTTTAGCATACTTAAACTTAAGGATTATTGTAAAACCAGTGGAATGTATTTTTAGTGTCAACCACAACTGCTGCGTTTAGAGTTGAATTTAAGTCTTTTAAAACCTTTTTTTAATAGAACCAATTTGTGAAAGTGAAAAGATTTTGCTTTGTTTGTCAAAACCATTAAGCAGCAACTGATGTTTGCTGTCTCTGTGTTACAGCGCTCTGCAAGATTTAGGCACCTCACACTTACATAAGTGTTTGTACCCAATGTGAAGCCTTTTACTTGTTTTGGCCTGTGCTGAGATGAAATGACTCATTGTTAAACAGATTGCGCTGCAGGAAATCTGATCTCACTGAGGCAATATTTTCTGTCTTCAAGTTAAAGATAAATGATGTCTCGTGAGGATAAACACAATGCAGGAAAAAGATGATAGAGCTTTTTATTCACTTCTGAAGACAAAGATATGCAAATTGTAAATGTGGTTTATACTTTATCTTACACATTTTATATTCACAGTAATAAAAGTGATTCTTTTTCTTAATAAACTGCAAACTTCTGTTCCAGTTGTTGTTTTTGTCTTAAAGATGCAGCGGAAGGCATTTCCAAAGTGATGTTTAGGGTTAAAACGGGAAAATCACTGCAGATCACTGACTATTATCTACAAGTTCTTGAAATACATGACAACCTCCTGTAGGTTTGCAATTGGTAAGATTAAAATGCTTCTTCATCTTTTGGGTGAAACTCCTCTGAGGACACAGTCTTGTTGGAAAGCCCGTGCATTGTCACAATTTAATTTAGAGTCAATTAATGGAAGGTCAGACTCGCTCTGGGAAAGTGTCTCAGGAGGCCTTTCTGAAAGTCGGGGAGATGATTCCAGGGGGAGGAGCGCAGCTTTTACGGGAAAATTAGTTTTCCATCAGGACAGCAATTTTCCCAGGTGCCCTTGTTCAAAATGTAACACAGTCATGGCAAAGCGAAAGTCCACCCTCTGCCATTTCTAGTTTTGCATAATAAATAATCTGGTAGTCACCCAGAATGTACAATTATCTAGATATGAAATCAAGTGTACAAAAAACCATATCACAGCTTCCACTATGTCAATGTTATTCATAGGTTTTAAATTAGTTGTTTAATAAAACCTAATCTACTGTAATAGCTAATGTTGAATAAATGTAAGGGTTAATTTAGATAAAAGGATTTCCAGATGTTTGGTTTTTTTTCACACATGCAAAACTATGAATATAAATATCCTTAAAGTTACATAAGTATATTTAACACTTTGTTGGTGTTGCTGAAATCTTTAAATCTAAGGAAATTAGCCACCTTCATTGCTCGATGCGATTCTGACCCATTCTGCAGAATTGCAAGAATCAGAACCTCACACTCAAACTCCTTACCTCTCTTTGGTTCTGTGAGCTCCTTCCAGGACTTTTAGTCCTTTGCACTAATTTTCTATAGGACTCGGGTCAGGTGACTGACTGGGTCACAGCAGTCATATTTTCTTTCTCTGAAGGTAATTGAGAGTTTTCTGGGCAGTGTGTTTCTGATCAATTTCTTGCTGAAACATCCATCCTGGTTTCATCTTCATCATCCTGGTTACTTGTATAACAGAAATGTCACAGCACATTTGTCCCTTCATCCATCTTTCAATTCCATCAGGTCTGGCCGGTACCCAGTGCTTTTGCAGGCTTGTCTAAATCTTGCTCAAGTTTCCGCAGGCTCGGAAAAGTGCCACAATAAAAACTCTGTGCTGAAAAGTAAACCTCTCCACGGATGCATCAGTTGATTGATTCAAAAATAATTAGATAAATAAGCTACTACAGGTTTAGCAATTTGTTATGTTGAACACATCAAGTAGTCATTTAGTTTTTGCTTTTACTCTGCAGCCACAGGCAAATGACATCTTTCCTGAATGATCAAACCAACATCCATCAAATTTGTCTGCAAGTGGAAACTCTAAATTTTACTTTGCAAATAAAATTGACAAACCTTTAAACATTTCTGAACTTCCACAACATCAGAAAACGATAATCTCTGTTAATTTTAAAAACTATCCTTCACACTTCTATTATTAAAAAGGATGAATAAAGTTTTTCACAGGGAACAAAGACCACAACCAAGTATTTTTTATTCAACTTGTCTGGAGGACATTAAAGTTGAAATGGCTTAATTAAATATTTAAACCTTTAGTCTATTAACACAGGGTGTACCAGGTGCTGCAGTCCAAAGTGTAGTCTGTCCTTTGGCACCAAAAGGGAATGAGAAAAATTGGGATGAACATATTGTAATTATACAGAATAGTATTGCAGTCACTTCAGAATACAAGGTTTTGAGCACTTTCCTATTGCAACATAGCAATTATACTGTGCAAAAGTCATGATTTATTTTATAAACTTAGGAATTAGATTGTGTAAATGTGATAACTTCATCCACCATCATCCAAATGGAGGCGGTACTCTGCATTTAGTGCATGCAAACTAAAGAAGGCATAATGACGAGTTTACAGGAAGGGGTCAAATTTTACTTCATGCTTGGTGTAAGACATGGGAAGACACTGATATCCCCTTTAAATACTTTTTATAGCAGTGTATAAAATAATTATTTCTTATCCATCAGTATTTGAGTATTTTGGATAACATAATTTTTCTGTGTTGATTAATTCTGCATTGATCAGATAAAGAGCAAGAGGACACCTGTGCTCAGACCAAGTGGTAGTGACTAAGTGAGACATGTCTAAATAAAACTTTAAATTCAACAGAACTGTTTACTGACGGACCCTACATAAGAGAACAGGATTGGGTTAGGTTGAGAGACTACAAAAGAGAGATGTTTTTTTTGGGAAATATTTGGAAAGTGTAATTGGAAATGACAGAAAAGGCCCTGGGGATCCTCTCTTGCACTCTCCTTTTGGCAAATATTTCAAAAAGAGGTATGGTTAGGCACTTCTCACACCTCTCTAATGCCAGAGAAACTTGAAAGAAGCCTCTTGAGAGTTGTGTGGAACATCTGCAGTCATTTTTTAACCCCAAAGAGCCTAAATGTGCACTAAGGATGAATGACTGAAAAATAGAAATTATGAAAGGATGGAAGCTGCAACAAAGACATTTTTGCTATTCATCTTATTTTGAAGTCAACCCACAGGCCAGTTAAGGTGACAAGCAAAAGATAAACAAGAAGAGCTTTGACAAATGGGAAGATATTGACTGTAAGAAGTTTAAAGTGTGTGAAATCTGGCTAACTTTAAAGTAATATTAATCTACTCCATCTGTGATTGGAAGTGCTTATGCTCAAAGTGCCAAAACACAGACAATCCTTGTAACCTGGCTAATAAGACAACAAAATGACGTTTAGAAAAATCTATAAAGCATAAATGCACAAAGAAAGAAAGAGCTTGGATACAAAGACCCTTTGAAGAATGAAAACTGACTGACTAAAGAAAATCAAAAATCAGATCCATAAAAGCTATTAAATAACTTAACAGTAGCCCTGAACAAGAAAGAAAACAATAAACTCAAAATGTCTATTTAAAAAGATTTTTTTTGTACTGCTTCTTTCAGAGTGTTTATTGTCTTTTCTTCATCTCTGTAGACATCAAACTTCAAACTGGAATACTAACATTATTGTGCTGGTGCAGAAGAGGTTTTTTTAAGCTTCTACTTAAAATAACAAAGAATGTCAGCAAATGCAGTTACATAGTCCTAACAAATGATAACACTTTGCATGAGTCGCAGCTGTATTTTCAAAAATAAAACCTTTCATGAACACCAAAATAGTTTGTACAGTTATTAATTTAATTAAAACCATCTCATGAATTCAATTTGCCGATTCACATTTTTAAGATTTAGGAAAGCAAAGTCAGGTATCTTCAGAGACAACAGCAGGGAAACGAACTCTTGATGCATGAAGTCTTCTTTCTGTCTTTTTGATGCCCCTGTCCACCATCAGTCAGTAGGCCAGTACAGGGATCAGACTTAAAAAAAATTAGAGCTATGTTTACCACAGTGATTTTAGAAAATGAAACAAAGTTTTACCTAATCATAGTGGGCAATGACTGTTTGCATGAAAGTTTATCTCCCCAGTTCTTTAAAGTACTTCACTGCAGTGACAATGGCAACAAATTGCAACATTTTTTGTTCAAAATGGGAATTATTCTATTATTACTGTGTATTTTAAAACATTTTCCAACCCAAAAAAATTATCTTAGCTCTTAAGCCACTCGTGCAACTGCATCAGGTTCTTAGAGGGCCAGATTTAAACTCTAGAAAAAAAAATCCTAAAGATTGCGTTTCTATCAGAAAGTAAAATGGATGTGAAACTACTTTATAATAGGTCAGAGAAGTCTGGCAGGGTAATCATGGGATGCAGCAGCTTAGTCCCTCTCTGATAATATATTCTCCAATCAAAGGCACAGAGCTTTACATCTACATCTGTAAAAAAAGCAGCACAGGCATTTGAAGCTTTTGCCTGAGTTTCCAATTGCATATCGGCAGTTTGTGTTTGTTGACAGCATTTACAAACGGAAAGATGAACAGCAGGGTGTGCGTTGATGAATTCAGGGATGATGAAGGAAGTCATTTTGCACAAGACAAGAAGTTAAAATCTTCAGTGTTGAAAGAGAGGAGGAAATCTAAGTGGGTAATATCAACAACGACCAAACATGCCAATGCTGAATAAGTAAGAGGCCCAAACATGTTCCAGAAAACGACGTCGAGAAGGTGTTGCAAAAATGCAGCCCGGATTTCTGTGCTGAGTTTAGCTTATGATGTCCCACTTCTGTTGGTATTCTCACTGAGGAAACACATGTCTTAATACCTGCAGAGATGGGAGCAGA